ACACACACACACACACACACACACACACACACACACACACACACGGTCAATTCTTGTTATTTGTGGTAGCTATGTTCTATAAAGTCACCATAAACACTAAGTTAGTAAAGACAGAACCATTGCTCTCCAGGGAAAGATAGGGTCAGGTTCCTGCATGCATCTGGTCACATTTCCTCAACTGATCAATATATAACCAAGTTTTATGTGTGCTAATGTCTAAAGACAAGGCTAACAGCACTATAATTCATGTCTAAATGAAGTTTACATAACACATATTTTCTCTATAAGGCACATCACAGCCTTCTTGTGTGTAAGAGCACTAGACAGCACTTCAACACTATGCTTGGGGCCATCTTGGAGAAACTGCCAACAAAAAGCACAAGAATGCAAAAAGAAAAAAGAAAGGAAGAAAGAGAAAGTGCATTGTGATAATAAAAAGGATGCTTGTTTACAGTATGAAAGCTGAAACAAGAAGGCAGAGTGTCACCTTGTTCAATGGCTGGAAATGCATGTGTTGGGCATGTCTATGAATAATTATGAAGGTGCTGCAAGTATTGATTTTGGGATTAAAAATAAATTTTAGCGGGTAGGCAAATTCACAAATACAGAATCTGTGAATAATAGGATTGACTATATTACCCCTGTGTATATATAAGTGCATTCATGTATGTGTGTGTATATCTTCATTAATATATTTGCCTTGAAGTCAAGATTTCTTTGTAGGGAATCAGGATATGCCACTCCAAAATATGACACTTTGACATAAATGTTTTAAGTTGAAGAAATTTGAAAAACGGCAGGTGCAGGAAGGACTCTCTGACCTGCCCCCTTCTCTCTGAAGCAGCTCATAAAACCCGCATGTGACAGGTACTCTCCCTGTACCAGGAGGAAAGGAGCATCTTTATCTCTGAAGACAGAGGGACGCCAAGAAGAATTTGAGCTTCTCCCCGTTGACTACCACTATCTCGTACCCTGTTGTCCTGTTGCGTTTTTCCACAACTTTCCACTCTTCTTCATCAAACGTAGTATAAAAACACTCAGACTTAACTGCTTCTTCAGGTCTTCATTTCCTAATGGAGGCTCCCACGTCATGTAAAACTCACATATTCAATACATTTGTATGCTTTTCTCATGTTAATCTGTCTTCGTCAGTTTAATTTTCAGGCCCAGCCTAAGAGGGCTGACATAAAGTGTTTTCTCCCCTACACCTTCTCCTCTGACTTTTTATCTTCTTACATCCTCCTTTTACCAGTTGCTTCTCCACCAATTTTCCCATCTCAATTAATGCACCAACAAATACCTAGGTATTCAGGCCTAGAACTTAGGAGCCTTGATTTTTTTCCCCCCTCAGCTGCCTATATCTAATCCATCACCAAGTCCTATCAGTTCTACCTCTAATCTTCCGAACACTTCTCATCACCCCCACTACTGCCAGCTTTGATCATGTCACCACCTCTTGTTCAAATTCACACATTAGCAATGCTCACACTATTTTACATTTAGGACTATAGATAAAAACTGTGCTATTTGTGTATTTTCACTGTCCTTCTCTCTTCATGTAATCTCCATGAGGGCAGGGACCTTTACTATTTGGTTTACCACTGCAATTCCACTAACTCAGAATGCTAAGTAGACGGTAGGAGGTACTACAGGTACCCAAAATGTCAAGCAACAAAATGTCAAAATGTCAAGAAGAGGAAAAATATTAATTGAATGAATAAATGCAGTCTTTCCAAACCTCCCTCTCTCCCTCTCTCCCTCCCCCTCCCCCTCCCTCTCCCTCTCTCTCTCTCTCTCTCTCTCTTCCTCTCTACTATCTTAGTTTACCTCAATATGTAATTCTTGGATGTTCAGAATACTTGCCTTTCACTGTGGCATGTGTTGCCACAGGAAGGGACACAGCTGTCACTGAAAATTGAATCCATGTAGGGCAATACAACTGATTTAATACATCTAATACATATATTAACTTGTATAGTTTTCCAACTATTTCATCCCAATGCTTCCCACACTACTTCCTCAAGTCCCATTCCCTTGAATCAAAAAGTACACGTAGATAATCTTCAGAAAATACAATCACTATTTGAGGACCAATTTTTTTAACCTTCTCTGAGCACATGATTTTCCAAGTCAAGAAAGGTGCAAGTCGGGATATGAATGGCTCGCTGCATTCATTCTGGTACTTTTAAAGTATGGTGGGGCTACATAGGCTTCAGGTCATGACTACCACTAATAAAAATTTGGGACCTGTCTTTCCTAAATTCAATGATTCTCTTGCAATTCCTCTATGACTTCCAAAAACAATTTTCTAGTTAAAATCTTGCCCTTTATTATTATCAGGCAACTACCTTTTACTTGTTACTATTTAAGATGAATATACAGTCAAAGCCAACACAGTAGAAATTGTTTTTTAAAAACTGTGGAACCACAAATATCCCTGTTTAGTGTCATTTCCCCCCATCGGCATAGTAATTTCAAGCTGAGGCCACTATGAGGTAAGCTGACAAGTAATCAAAATAATAAAATATAAAAGCCTAATAAATTTGTAACTTTGGTAAAATATAATTACTTGATGTTTTTCTGAAGGGCTTTCTCCAGTTTCTTCACCTGTTGTTTATAAAGTCTTAATTCATGCTGTGTGGGCCTGTAGAAAATAAATCATATTGATTGTATTCAATTTATTGAATAAAACTATAAAGATATTTAATAATAAACAACAAAGTATACCTTGTTACTTGTCACAAATATGCTTATTAAAATTCTTAAACTATTTCATGATTGCTAGTGAGGTGTTAACTGGCCAGTCATTGGGTTTCTTCTCTGTATTCCCTGTTAAAACTTTTTACCATTTTTTATCGTTGTTACTCTATTACTTGTCTTTATAGTGAAATATTTCAAATGTACAGATAAGAAGAGAAAATAGTAAACCTAATAGTGGTATATCTCCCACTTGGCTTTATCAAAGTTGAATATTAACAGATCTGTCTCAAACCTTTGTTTAACTAAAACATTATACATACACTAAAACTCCACATATGTCCCTCACTAATGTCCTTCCTCTCCGTCACATAACACAGGTAACCACTACCCGAAATTCACTATTCATTATTCCCATGCATGTTTTAAAATTTTTATTACATATTTATATAATCATAAATTTACATACTACTATGTGGCAGGTTCTTAAACTTTATATTAGAGGTTTTTATACTGTAGGTATCAGTCCCTTCCCCATTAAAGTGTAAGCTTTATGAGAACAGGCTATTTGTTTTGGTCATCATACGAGAGCTTAGGACAATGTCTAACTTATAACAGGTACTCAACAAATATTTGTTGAATGAAAAAAGTCTCCACAATGTTCATTCCTTATTACTCACTGTCTACATGGAGAGTGACGTCCTTTTGTGGTAGTATGATGTATATAAATATACCTTTCTATTGTATGCCATTTCAACTTTTTAGTTTTCTTCTCCCACAACACAGGGATAAGAGACATCTAAAGTAACTTGGGAATGGAAACCTGATAGTGTAAGACAGTCTGCTCTGAGTTCCTACCCAGTTTTATCTTCTTCATGGTGGACTATTTTCTCACTTCCCTTCCCACCTATGCATGCTTGTTCCTTCCATCATATGAAAGACAACTGACCAAAATAAGTAGAAGAGTATGAGTTTCTCCAAGATCAGTTTCAGATAAAAGGGGCTAGAACAATTCATTTAACCTTCCAAATTCCAGTATGTGTTTACTTTCCAAAGGTTAAATAAAAATGCTTAAGTTTCTCTTACCTGGTTTCCAAATCTTTCTGGAGATTCAGCTTTTCACTTAAAAGTACATCAATCTTAGATTTCGATTCCTTGAGTTGATTCTGTAATGACTGCAACACATTTCATAGAAAACAAGTTAACTTGACTAGGAAATTATTTTACTTTATAAGAAAGTATTTATTAGATATGTAATCCCCATACCATTAGAAGGCCTTTATAAGTTGGTGAGGCACCAAAACTTCTGTAGTCTTTTTCTTCTTCTGACTGACTTTCATCTTCTTTATAATGCCTATGAAAAAATATATGCAGTGTACTTCTTATGAAAAATCTACCTTCAAAGAAAAAATCTAGCTAACAAAAATTAAATCAATCCAATAAAGGTTAGATAACCTAAATATGAATTAAAATTTAAGCTAAATTTCCTACTTGCTCTCATACAGAACGGTATTAGGTACTACTACCTAATATTACAGTATATATCTGCTCACTATCACTTTAATTAGAATATAAAATCCACACAAACCAGAACTTTGTCTGTCTTGTTCACCATTTTATCTCACTGCCTAGAAGATATGGGGCATAAGAGTGGGTGAAAAACCACTTACTGAATGAATAAACAAAGCATACTGTCTTTTTTCTTTCTAGTACTTTTAGGTCACCAAAAATACTAAATGGAAAAATGTAGAGTATAAGTGAACAAAGCAACGAATTTAATAGTCCTGATTCAAGTATGACACCACCATTAACCAGTTGTGTTATTTGAGGTCAATCTCTCAGAATTTGTTTTCACATCGGTCAAATAGATATATCTGTCATATCTGTTTCACAGGATTGGTGTTAAAAGTAAACAAAAGAGGGCCAGCCAAGTGGTGCATTGGTTAAGAGTTGGCTTGGGATGCCAGCTCTGAGCAGCAGGGCCCTGGTTCAGAGCCCACATGAGAGCCAGTAATGCTGCGCCCTCTATAGCTAAGATGGTGAACAACAGCTCGACCTGGAGCTGGGTTGCCGTGAGTCACTGGTGAAGGCGTAGGCTGCAGTGGGGCTGCAGTGGGGCTGCAGTGGGCTGCCGTAAGCTACCATGAGTGGCCAGCAGCAGACATGAGCGGCTGTCCAGTGGCCAGTGACCAATCTGCCTCACTCGGGAAGAGCACAATGATAATAACAACATGGGCCAGTGAAGCAACGTCCTCCACAATTAGACTGAAGAACAAAAGGACAGCAACTTGTCTGTTCCCTCCCCCAATTCCCCAATAAAATCTTAAAAGAAAGTAAATAAAAGATATTAAAGCATTCTGTAAGCTGCCAAGTACTACTAGCAAATCAGTATTATTATTTTATCAATCCTGATGCATTAACACTGGCCTGTACAATATGGTAAACACTAGCAACATGTGACTAATGAGGACTTAAATTACAGCTAGTGCAACTGAAGAACAAAATTTTTAATTTTATTTGAGTCCAGAGTGCTAACTATTACACGATGGAACCCTTTTTAATTTTATTTCAAATTAAAACTTAAGAACTGAAGCAGTGTAAATATTTTTCTGCTAAATACAACTTCACTGTTTAGGGCTACAATCCACTTTGTTGCACCACGTTATTACTACGTATTACTGTTGCAGCCTAGTGTACATTGGGCACACGCATGGTTTGTAGTATGACATACAGGCACAACACCAGTCTAGTCAGTGTCAATGGATTGATCCAGTTTGAATGGTTTCCTTTTTCCTATATACCAATATAACATGTGTTTATTCTGATACTATATTTATGGTGATACCTATATAAATCAGAAATAATTAAATTGATAGTTATTTTAAGAACTGAACTATTTTTCTAGTTAAAAAAAATAATTATGGACAGATTTTTTAACAGAGTCAAGTGGGGATGATAACATCTGAGATAGCACAACAACTGGGACAGTGAAGAGATTGAAAGAAGGCACGTCACAAATTTCCTAACGAATGCTATTTTGACTTGCCGCAGAACAAAGTGAAAAAGCTGTTGGCTCACAAGTGACAAAAGAAACAAACAGATAAATTAGACTTCATAAACTTAAAAAATTATTGAGCTTCCAAGGACACCATCAAGAAAAAAAGACAACCCACAGAACAGGAAAAAATATTTGCAAATCTGATAAGGAACTTATATCCAGAATACATAAAGAACTCTTACAATTCAACAATAAAAAGACTAATAATTCAATTTAAAACTGGACAAAGGACTTGAATAAACATTTCTCAAAAAAAGATATGTAAATTACAATAAGCATATGAAAAGATCCTCAACATCATTAGCCCTTAGGGAAACACAGACGAAAACCACAATGATATACCACTTCAAACCCACTAGCATGGCTAAAATGAAAAAGACAGACAATAACAAGTTTTTATGAGGATGTGGAAAAACTAGAACCCTCATACACTGCTTGGTGGAAGTGTAAAATGGAAACATAAAATGCAGCCATTTTGTAAAACAGATTGGTAGTTCCTCAAAATGTTAAACATTTAATGTTACCACATGACCCAGTAATTCCATACCTAAATATATATCCGAGAGGTGAAACATGTCTACAGAAAAACTTGCGAACAAATGTACGTAGCAGCATTATTCATAATAACCAAAAGGTGGGAACAACCCAAATATCCATCAACTGATAAAAGGATTAACAAAATGTGGCATATCCATACACTAGACCAGGGGTCGGCAAACTGCGGCTCGCGAGCCACATGCGGCTCTTTGGGTATGTTCGGTCTCAAAAGTTTGCCAACCCCTGGAACAGCCAATCCTGACCCTCACAACAATTTAAAAATTATTCGAGAGCCATAAATATATTTTTACATAATCCCCATTATAATATTCTTTAATATAATAATATTATGAATATTATTCAATAATATCCTTTAAAATTTTTATAAATGAAACTATGATAGTTTTATTTTCATATTCAATTTTACTTCAGAGCCACATGTATGTACCCAAAGAGCCACATGTGACTCAGGAGCCACAGTTTGCTGACCCCTGGCAGCTTTTCCGTCTCAAAAGTTTGCTGACCCCTGCACTAGACTATTATTATTCAGACATATAAAGGTATGAAGTACTGATGCATACTATAATATGAGCCTTGAAAACATTATGCAGAGTAGAGGCCAGTCAGAAATGCTCACATATTGTATATGATTCCATTTATATGAAATGTTCAGAACAAGCAAATCCATAAAGACAGAAAGTACACTGGTGGTTGCTTAGGGGTTGGGTTGCAGGCAGGTAGAGGCACAGGGCAGGGAGGAGATGAGGCGTGACTGCTAATGGGTATGGGGTTTCTCAACAGGGTGATGAACAAGTTCTAAAATTGATTATGGTGACAGTGACAAAACTCGGAATATAGTAAAACCATTGAATTGTACCTTTAAAACGGTGAATTCTATGGTATGTGAATTACACCTCAATAAAGCTGTTATTTTAAAAAGTTGTAACATAAAAAATATTTTAAGATTCTAAAATAGATAATGTCAAGAGGCATTTTCAGCAAATACACAGTGTATTTAATAGTCTCAACAGTGAAAAAAGCATGGAAGTTAGCCACTGAAATCAGAATTAACCATCCAACAAAAACTCGTAGGTTTGGTTTTTTTTTAGCAGAATCTGAGCTTGTAACTTTGCCCAATAATAAAACATTTTGAAGTCTTGCACAAAAACTGAAACTGTTTATAGATGTAAAGATGGTAAAATAAATTATTTCAGTTACAGAAATTCTATAGGAAAATGAGAAAATAAAAGATATTTTATAAAAAGTGAAAGATCTTCAATTAAACCCACAAACAACTGTCTGTCAAAATACAAGACCTTTCTTATAATATCAAAGATTATTCCAAACTTTGAAAAATTTCAAGTACTTTATCTTTAGATGAGTCATGTGCCCAATTAATACTTTGGGAATGTTTTGTCTCAAAAAAAGACTTCCA